GTTGGTGGATCTAGATTGAAGTACGCACTTGTTTGATTCCCGCGATAATAGCACGTGTGGCAATTGGTTAACAACATTGCAATTTGTATTGCCTTACCAACATTTTGGAGCATAACTTTTTGCTGCATCTTGAATGTTGTTGAGGCCCACAGAGTCTTCAACAGCCCAAAATTCCACTCGACACACTGCCGGACTTTGCTCATAGCGGAGTTGAATGACTTCATTTGTCTCGATACCGCACTTACTTTGTAGCCACTACATATCCAAGGGAGAACGCCATAAGCGGGATCGCCATACATCAGAAAGTTGTCAAACAACTCTTTATGCGAGTCGAGATAGGCCATAAGTCCTATCTCCTTCAGAATTGTAGTGTCGTGGCGGGAACCTTCTATAGGGCCCCAGAAGTGGATAAAGAGTCCATCAAGGGCAGCGACAGCTTGATAAAGGAGACAATGACGTCGTTTATGGCCACTGTAAATCAGACGCTGTAAGTTACCATGCTGAACACCACTAGCAATAACTTGGCGGCTCTTTTTTGGTGCGATGCGGCAGGTTTCAAACTTGGTGCCATCAATAAATCCAAAAATGTTCTCCATACAGTCCGACTTCAGGTAAACAGCAGTGGCATAGTCTTCCAAACGGTCTTGCACAATGTGCAAGCAAAAGTAGATGAGCTCTTGCCACTCGTCAAACAAGAACTCTATCATGTGGTTGAATATACGACAGAGGGCTTCGCGAGACCGTCCAAAAGTGTCCATCATATCTTGGTATCGCTGAGGATAGGACAAACGATAGAGCACAATACACAAAGCTTCTTCTCCAGGGCAGACGTCTTCATCAAAAGTTTGTACTTCATTTGGAATACGGAGCAGCTCGCGCAAGAGGCGAATGCCATTGACATCAAAGCGGAATTTTAAGGTGCTGTCAGCATCTTGGAAGTTAGAGAGGGAGAAAGGCTGTTTGGGCACTAAAGGATGCTCAATCAGACAGACAAGAGCGCGAAGCAGTCGCATTCGCTGCTTGAAATCTGCCCGACGACGTCGGCGGACGATT